AAATGTATATATAAAACCTAAAAAAAAATATTTTGTTTCATATCTTCCACGTGCAAATTTTTTAAGCAGTACAAAGGTCGTAACTAGAAGACATAATTGTTTGCTCTACTTCTTTATTTACTGTTCTATGTTTTAGGAAAAATAACTTTAAGAACTTATTTCAAAATAGCAATAATCTATATACATATATAATGTATAATAACTGAAATTTGACTGTATTTTATAAAATACTAGTCTACTGAAACACAGCCAAGACAAGTTACTTTGTACAGACCAAAGGTCACCTTTATGTTATTTGATACAGTAACATGAGTGCACGTGAGCCGCATCATTGTAACTTTTGTATTGTTAGCCAGGCAAGGTCAATATAATAAAAATAATAAATATATAATGTTATGAGGTTTAAGCTATTTTGTCTAAAATTTTATGTTTTTGTGTAATAATTTGTGTTCATTCTAGAATGAAAGAGGCATAACTTTTATTCCTCATTTTTTTATGGCGGTTGCAAGATTCGTCAAATTTACCGAATGTGTACAGAGATTAATTACTGAAAATAACAGATAAAATATAAAGTTTTTTTATTAAGAAATGTTTGATAACTATTTGGACATTATATAGATTTTGCATGTGAAATTTCAAAATTTTCTGATGCATAAAAATATTTTTGATCTTAAAATAAATATTACTTTGCATGATAGATAGGCAACATGTGCAAAGAATAAAAAGACATGAGAAAAACATTGCTTTACAAACCTTAAGACTTAATACAAAATTTGATATTTTGCCTATGAAAGCATTATAATGTTTACTGATAATCTGCCACATTGTGTAACCATTCACTTACTAATTTAAAAGTTATAGCATGAAAACTATAACAATCACAAAATGGTTATGAGATCGGTCTCAGGGACCGAACCCATGCTCTAAGAGTTAAGTATTTTTATTGTTCTATGAAATTGCTTGCAAAAAATTCCAACTTTATTGGTAATAAAAAATACCAAGCAAAACAAAAAGAGGTTAAGTTAGCAAATTTCAAATTTGCTTTAATATTTTGATTATCTAAAGAATGTTATTGTTTTTTGTCTCCAAAACTTGTGTTGTTTATCTTCTGTCCACTTCTTCAGTACCAACTTTCACTTTCCAAATTAAAAAACATTAAACATTGGTGAAAAGTTAAAATAAAACCCTAAATAGACATCTCAATAACACATAAATAAAACATTAAATTAAACAAACATTACATTAGGAAAACATAAAAACTAATAATATAATAATAATAATATATTAATATATTATATAATAAAAATAGCAAATATAAAAACAATAATAAATAGAAAAATTATTTATTCCTTAGTAATTGGCTTTCAGCCTACTTTAGAAACATAAAAGTGTAACATGCCAGGAGAAAGTATTTTCAGATTGCGGAAGGAGCATGACAGTGAATTGTGTTGTTTATAAATAGGCTTCACAGTCAAGAAAAATTAAATAAATTGCAACAAATATTAATAGTTGAATAAATAACAAGGAAAACATGTCAGTTAAAAATATTTATGGGAAAACAAGTAAATATGTTTAAAAAACTTTTTTTAACCACTATGTTTAGTTAGGTTTTCATTGCTTCACTAGGTGGGAATCTTCAAATAGAATAATAGGGAAATGGAGTGGTTTAAAAGATATTTTGAAACATATTTACTTATTTATCACTAAGTAAAAAAATATTAAGTGTCCACTAAAAGTCCAACAATTTTTTTAATGGAGTACTATTTTTTTTAGCATTTGTTGTGTTACTTTTTATAATTTATCTATAGAGAAGCCAAAAATTCCTTTGTGTTATTAGCAATATTAAATAAGTAATTTTCAGTCTACTTAAATAAAAATAAGTTTGTCTTGTAGCTGTGTGTATGAAATAATCATGTTACACTTTGAGTTTTAGTGATGTTTTTTATATTATTATTTGAGGTGTAAAATGATTAGCACAAGCTACATTGAAATTTTATTGCCTAATAAAGTACTACACATAGCTGGTTATAAAAGACAGTAATAATCTTTCAGACTTATGGACGATGCCAATGTTGGGGAAATTATGGAAGAACCAATTGCTCCATACTCTTGGATCCACCTTATGCTAGTTGGAGTGTCTTATTTAACCCTGCAACTGCTCGTGCATCATCTGTACCAGATTTAGCATCTGTTCTCCCTCGCATGGGCCATTCCTTATTGACTAGCAGAAATCCGAGTCCTTCAAATAGGGGACTTATCTGGGTGTTTGGTGGATATTCTACAGATAAAGGAGAACTGAATGATCTTTATAAGTTTAACACAGCTACCAGCAGGTGGCAAGAGGTATTTTTGAGTTTTTGAGAAAATTTTTCAAAATCCTCCTAAAATTTGTGATTGTACAGAACCCAGAACAATGCAAGATGTGAAATTATATCAGTGTGTGACTTTTTAAAGCAATAAGAATAACAATGAAATTGCTAATTGACAAAACCTATGTGTTGAATGTGCATAGGCCAACAACAAATGACAAACCCTAGTACTAAAATGATGTTTTTTGCAGTAATTTTCACTTTATACTAAAATACTAAAAACAGTGAGGTTGCAGTGTCAAAAGCTTGTGTCTTTACATAATATAATTATGGACACATATATAGAACACCATACTATAACATTGGGCTTAGTCTTTCAAAGTGATATTAACCACAGGGGATTTTGAAATTTTGTATGACCCTTAACTTTCCAAAGTTTACCGGTTTTCATGTAAGTAAAATGTGTCTTGTTTTTTTTTATTGTGTATCTAAAAATAAGCCTGGACTTTGGAGAGTTATTTATCTATAAACATGACAGTGAAAGAGTAGAGAAACCACAATAATCTAATTTTGTAAAGAAATGAGCTTTTTATACTGCAAAGTTAATTTTTTGTTATACTGGTAAATTTATTTATGCTTATTCCTGTTGATCTTTTTTTTTTAACTTAGAACTAACAATACATGTGAAAGCACTGTAGTCACATTGGATTACCAAGTACATTTTTTATGTAGATCCTAGTATCTTGAATGATATATGTAGAAATGTTTTCTGTTGAACACGAGTGGATACTGAAAATGGTAGTAAATTTCATATCTGTTATCAAATAACAGACAATGGTAGAAAGAAAGGGTGTACTAAGGAAAGACATAATTGCAGTGACAAATTGTTTAAGTAATTTAAGATGGTTAATGATCTATTCAAAATAAAATAGATAAGTAGAAACTGAAGAAAATGTAAATGAAAAATTGTCATTTTCACAACACTGAATTTATAAGATAAACAAATAGTGTTAAAAACATACAAAATAACTATTAGAGCTAAGAAAAGAAACAAATGTGTTAAAGTTACTCATATAATGATCATGAGATAAGGTAATAGCACTAGATTGATTTTCGTGATTTCATTTAACACAGTGTCTGGGCTTATTTCATTTGGTTTGAAATAGTGGTGTCTTTCTGTAATTCAGTAAATTTCTGTGAACAGTCTCTTAAACTATACTGGAGGATAGTGAGAGGTTGATCACTGGTTATTTGTCGTCAAGGATGTTGCGGTGTTTAGCAGTGATTATTGAATAAAAATAGATGAAACATGATTCAGTTATGGAATGAAGGCTTAGTATAAAAATTTAAGAAAGTTTTTAGATCATAGAAATATGTTAAATAAAACACGATCAGGGTATGCACAGAGCTTGAAAAGCCCTTAAACTTCATGATTGTCTTGAAAACTACTTAAATTCAGGTTTTACATTAAAAAATCCTTGAATTTCAACATAATCACTTAAAAGACTTAAGTTCAAACATTTTATAAGATTTCTATTGTAATGCATCTTTTAGTTTTATATAATTGAGCCTTTCAGAAGTTTCATGAGGTTAGTAATTACAAAGTTGTATATTTTTTTGTTAGGTGTCTTTGTCTTTGACAGAGTAGAACCCCATTCAAGTCTCCTGTATTTTCTGGAAAGTTTATTTTGTAATCTTTTTTTGTACCATAAAATCAGTTTGTTAGCATGATTTTCCACCATCAGTTTGACACAGCAAGTTATGAGTGTAAAGCCAAACAGTAAGGGAAAAGGGCAATAAATGTTATTCTTTGTGTATATTTGTTACTGAAAATGTGACATTTGATGTAAGCCTATTTTCATGAATTGAATGCTGTATTTTCTCTTCTTACATAATGAGGAAGCATGTATTCAACAGGAAATGGTTAGACAATGGTTGATTCAAAAATTGGGCCAGAGAACACAAATTATATCACAATATACGATGTGTTGCCATTTGTAACAACATAATAGATCTGTGCTAGATGGTTGAAAGCGAGTTAGGATTGCATATGCAAAATGAAAAGCATTTTATAATTATGAAGGCTTTTGTGATGAACTTTAGGTTTAGTTTCTTCAGAGAAAAACAACACTGCAAAACCAAGAAGTTGTTACAAGTGTCATGAATTTCTGTTGTTGGGAGTCCTTGGAAAACAGCAGTTGAAGCCTTTAAAAGTCCTTGAATTTTTTCATCATGACTGTTTACAAACCCTTTAATTAAAAATATAACCCATTTTTTTACTAGTTTTAGTTTTATCTGGTTTAGCATATGATTTCATTAATACTGAAATACATGTTTAGGTTGTCCCAGAACCTCAAAGTGCTGGGCCTCCTCCAGGTCGACACTTCCATGGAGCAGCAATGACAAGAAATGACATCTATGTTTTTGGAGGACTAAGCAAGGACAGAGTAATGGGAGATTTTTGGAAATTTGATACTGAAAAAGGGGTTTGGACACAGTTGAGGGTAAGTTAACTTGCAAGAACTTTTTAATGCTTACCATTTGTTGAAAAAAACAAAACACATCTAAAAGGGAAAAAAAAAGATTACTTCAGTTAAACAATTTTTTAAATAATGATTGTGTATTAATGAAATAATAGATTTAAGACAGCTGTTCCACTTAAAAGTACAGTTTGATTTAATGGTGTACTATTCAGTGTTTCCAGACTGACATCTTGTTATTTATTATGTACAAACTTTACTTCCTGACCAAGCTATCTATTCTCAAAGTAAAAAGTTATAAATGGGTAAAATTATATCGTTGAAAATATAACTTATACAAAGCTACAACCAATCAAAATAAAGTATAGTAGATGTGGCTTACTAATTAGATCCTGTTGAAGTTTTTAAGGTTGCACAGCAAAAAAAAGTTGTAAATTTTCATATAGTTTACAAAGGGTTTGTATCAACGAATGAGTACTGGATTAATCCACTTTAGAAATACAAGCTAGGATATTAATAAAACAGTGCAGTATTCTATTAAAACAAATTCTCTTACTAGTTAATAATAGTAAATGATATTTCTGTCTGTTAACAGTTTCTATGTTGTATTAGCATTCAATAATGTTTTAGGATCAATTTGTTTCAAACTAATCAAGAATTCCAGTCCAATCAGTTGAAAACATGGTGTCATCAGTTCAGTTTTCATTGTAAGCCATTGGTGAGATTTAGAATGATATACACATTTATTAATATGTAATTCACATTAGTTAGCTTCATAATTTTTAAATATCTTTCTTGATATTATATTGGTTTTGTATGTCAATATCATGATTATTTTATTTTATTACAGATTAAGAACCTTTTGTTTTTAACCAGGGTTTGCTCTTTACTTTCTAAGGTTGTGATTTATCATCGATTATTTGAAGAAAATTTTCTGTTTTTGATAGACATCTTCAGATGTTCCACCGTTAAGTGGTTTAACCTTGATCGCTATCAGTGACAAGAGTTTACTGGTGATAGGAGGTTATTCTCCGGAGTATGGGTTTCTGGAATATCTTTTAGAATACAGTCTTTCTAGTCGAGAGTGGAAGATTCTAAATAGTAGTGGAGCTCTACCAGTTGGTAATTGAAATATAAGAATATTTTATCCTTTTATTTTTTATTTATGTTTTTTGTACAATATTGTTCTGTTATAAATCAAACCAGCTTAGAAATAATGTTGTCATTGTTTTTTAACTTATTACTGTTTCAGTTTGCAGAGTTTCAGAAAACTGTAAAATTTCTGGTCTACCAGTCATTGAAAACTTGGTGGACCAACTGAAATTTTTATGTACCGAATAATAAAATTGATATTATAGAATATTTTTTGTTTTAATAGACAATGATAATTATTAGATTGCAGACTGAGCATAGTAATATCACAGAAAACTTAAAAAGACAAAACAATTCAATTCAGATATCAATTCTATTCATATTCTAATTCAGTTTCCTTGAACCAATACATCTTCCTTCTTGTCCACTTCAGTGTGAGAGTCAGTATCTGTATCATTGTCTGTATCTGAGGCACTGTCATCATCACTGTTCAACTTTGTAAATATAGGCAATGAAACATCTGTCTGTCCCTCAGAAATAGACATCTTCTATGTAGGTGTTAAAATTCTTTGCTCCTCCACGAATGAAGAGGTGCCTAGGATGATTGCTTCAGTTTTCTAATGAAGGATTAACACTATTGCAGAAAATCTCAATACAAGCAGTACACTTCCTAACAGCTGTGTTTCCTGACCCTTTTTACAGCTATCCTAGAATATTGAAGGCTTTCTCATAGCTTCATAAATTTTCTGTTTCCCTTTAGTGATATTACTGTCCTCTGCTGACGAAGATTTTTTTTTTGCTCCAGCAGTGTAAATAATTGGCCATGCCACCATTTGTAGTCAATAGAATTTTGAATGAATTTTCTTATCATGAATTTCACTGGCTACATTAAAAGTAATTGGGGGAAACATATGTTTATCTCTGTCTCTCTCTCTCTCTCTCTATATATATATATAGAGAGAGAGAGAGAGAAAGAAAAAAAGCATGTACTGCAGTCTTGAGGGAAGGAGATGAATATATGTTCATCAAGAATCATCTGAGAATAACCATGAAAATCACAGGAACTCAAATTATTCTAGCAAAATTATCCTAAGTTTACTTGAAAATATGCCGGACTGAGGATCCGTCAGTATTAAGAGACATGTCAGACTGTGACAATTTCTAACCTGATGTCCGAGGACCGAGGTGTTTGTGAAATTCTGCAGTTGTATATCTCAACCAGCATATGAGCATGTGTCTTTGACTTCAAAAAGCAAGTAAAGAAGTGCAAGTAACAATGAGCATATCTTGCACTTTAATATGTACAAGAACATAATTAGTTGTATTTATAAAATGACAGAATACTAGAAGATGGCCTTTCCCACACTTTTGAAATATCTACAGTGAATTTGTAGATTATCCTACTACTTGGAAGGAAATAATGGAAAATTGTTTTCAAGTTAATTGTAAATGACTAAAGCTGATGACTATTTATAATCATATAAAAATGAAATTATCTTTTTCTAAGGTAGCAAGATGATTGAAACATTACTTTTGTTATTGATCCTTACCCTTATTTGTAAATTACTTTAATAAAAATTGATAATAATTACACTTCACTTGCTTAATCTCATTCACACAATAACAGTTGTTGCTCATGAAACTGATGATATGAATAGAACCTTTATCACTGTAGGCCTAATGACCAGTATTGTACAAAGTACTGTCACCACTGAATATGGTAGACATAGTGTGGTTTACATATTATTGCATATTCTTCTTTGCTTTCAATTATAAGTTATGAAAACATGTAGTGGAAATAGTTTAGCACTTCACCCAAGTGATCCAGTACAGTTTTACAGATTAATTTTAGAGTGCATAATAACATTTCAGCTACATTCCTTGGGGATTGTATAAGGCTTTTTGCTTAATACCAGAGCTTATTAAAGCACCAGGGTTAAAATGCTAAAAAGTCTAACTGAAATACAATTTATGTTATAGGCATGTAATAAAATGGAAGGATGTAGTTGTTAACATAATTGCTATTATGTATTGTTCTTGCTGGAGACCTGAATTGGATTAGTTATGAAGAAAGTTTATAAATATTTTAATTATATTGTAATATTTCTTTGCACTTGTTATTGTAAAAAAAAGGATCATTTGGCAGCACCTGCAGTGTTATTACTCCACAAAAAAACACTCATTTTTAGTGCTAAATAGTTTGTATCCTTTTGCAGAATTGTGGTTTTAGTGGTTACATTTTTATATGAAAGTAATGCATCTTATTGAGACTTTCAATGCATTTTGAAAATGTGTATATCAGTAAGCTTAGTGTTCATGGTTCAAACCTAAATTTGAATCAATGAAACCATTTTGCCAGTAGAGTTTAAATAAGAAAGATTTTGTTTAATAATAATGAAAGTTTTCAGTTCTTTAAAATATACTCTGCAGTAATGAGCAACTACAAAATATGTTTTGAAAGAAACCTAAGATGTAGTGCTAGGATGAGATTTCTAGTTTTCTTAAAACATCATTTCTTTACACAAATATTATTAAATGCACATCAAATTTTCATAAGAGTCTCAATAAAATGCTTTAAAAATTACCTGTAATCTAAAAATTTTAACGCTATGCTATTTTTCTATATTTGAAACCAATAAAAAGGGCTAATGTAATGTTTTTGTGTTGTATGAAGGTGCTCTTATACTACAGGTGCATTCCAAGACATTATCAAAAGTAAAAAACAATGTGCTATTTCTTTACATTGTAGAAAAACTGATAAAAAAAAATATTATTATTCACAAAATATAGTTGTATGGCAAATCATTGTTGTTAAGCTATTCTATCAGTTTAATCAACAACAGTGTTTGTGAGTGTAATATGATCTTGATTTATAAATTTTTAAGGGATGTTTGTGATATATGTATAAAAATATGACAGTAGGAAGTAGTCTGTTGTGGTTTAGCTGTACTGTTCAAATTTTAAAATGATATTGATCTCAGAACCTTGATCTGAACCATCAGCTTATGTGTTCAAGTTTGATCTATTACAGTGTCAAGCAACAATAATATATCTTTTTCCAACACAGTTCTCTTAAAATCAGAATTGTGTAAAAATAGCATTTAAGATCTGACTTTTGTCTGCCATAAGTCACTGCCCAAGAGGCTTCTCTTTCAATGCCAGAGCTCATCAGCTGGGTTGGACCTGTTTTAACCAAAATATATGTAAAATGTTGTTTATGTACTGTAAAACAATTATGTATGAGTGGTGTTCAATGACTGAATTGGCAAAGAAATGAGGCCTAAAAATGAAAGTCTTTAAGATCTAACAAAAGTAATTAAAAGTCACTTTGATTGTAGGTGATCTTCTCTCATTCTCAAAAACATTCCACATACTTTGATTTGAAGTTGTTTGATAATTGACTGATTATAAAGAGAATTGTATAAAAAATATGAAGTAAAACATGATATAAAACAAAACTTTAGTCAGATGTGATTATAGTCACTGTTGTTAGATATAAAAAAACCTTTAATAACAATTTAAGGTCATTTAAGAAAAGATTAATGCTTAGGAATTATTTTTCTAGGGATTTATGGACATTCAAGTGTCTACCATTCCCAGACTGAAGCTGTTTACGTATTTGGAGGTTTTCTGTACGATTTCAATCAAGTGGTAGTTTCTGATCAACTTTATACCTTTCACTTGCCCACGCTTCGTTGGTCAAGGCTTCCTATTGACAGAAGAACCAGCTCAGCCAGAGTAAGTTTACAAATTTCTAAACTTCATGAGTTTTAACAGTTGGTAGTATTTTTCCTGATGTTTCAATCAGTGCATACATCTTCGTGTGACTGGTATGTTACTATCTTTTGTATTCAAACTGTAATAAAGATGTGTTTTAAAAGAGAGATTTTTTATTTCACATGATAGAATAATTCATCATTTTAGATCAACTTTTGTTACTCATAGTGAATACAAATGTTATATTTTTTTATTGTTTTTTAGCCAATGCCAAGATACTTTCATGCTGCAGCCACCACAGCTTCATACATGATAATCATTGGAGGAAGGACAAACAATAGCGAGTTGATTAATGATGTATTTGCTTACAACTACAAGTGTAATTCATGGGGTACACTTCAGCTGAATAGTAAGTCTTTCACATTTGTTCAACAGTAATTGCAAAACTCATTTACAAAACTAGTGGGTTTTCAGTATTTTTTATAACTTGTAATTTTTTTTATGTTTAGACTGATTTTTAGTGCACTTTAAGATATTAACTTTCTTATTTCAAGCTTGATTGATTTTATTGTTTAGTATTCCTTTTTATTCCTAAAATAATAGAAATTAGGTGTTTTGTTAAGCATTTGAGATATAAGACAATGGTTGCAGGATACATATTAAATTTTACATATTATATTACTCATGAACAGGGAATAAATTTATCAGTGCTTAACCCATTAACTGCAGATGATGGATATTTCCGTCATTGAAGTTCTATGGCTCAGCTGCAAATGCCGGAAATATTCTTCAGTCACACATATATAACTATGACTATGCGAATAATGAAAATTACCATTCTATTGTGATTGAAGGCAATTCAGTTTTATCTGTGAGTCAGAAAACGGTGACTGAGCTGCTCCTGCCGCAGTTAATGGGTTAAGTAATAATAAAATAATGCCATTGAAAACAAATAAAAAAAGTTTTAAGTGACATATTTAATATTTATTACCCTAAAATTGCTGTTGGGGTCTAAATGGAACCCATCAGCTTTTTAATTGCATTTTTCTGAACTATATATGCATCAAATTGCCTGTGATCTATGACTTTGTTCCTTACAGGGTCTCATATATGTTATGTCGCAGAAAATATGTAAATACAACTAAAATTGATATTGTGTTTAATCCTTTTACTTGCTGATGGGATTATATACATTGCATATAAAAATTAATGATTCCACCAATTTATTCGGTCAGTTATTTACTCTGAATGTTTTAACAGGCAGAAACATGAAATTATTCAATATGATGCATTCAGTTAAACATAATTCAAATAATATCTAAATGATAAAAACATTGAGAATGGCTAAACTGAATAAAAATGGTATTTTTAACACCCTGTTCAAGTTTTGTTTTCATAATATAGTATGACCTATACTTTTTTGTAGAAGCACTTTTACACATATCCATTTGTAAATATATATATGTACATATATAAATATTTACGGAATAATGGACAGGAAGGTTATTTTTTGATGAAAGCTCAGAACAGATGTATTAATCAGGCAACAATAAATGTCACCAAATTCTGTACTTGGTTCTTGTCATGCAACTTTCCACAAGCACAACTTCTCATGTAAGAAAAAACAAACTTGTATTGTATGTAGCGAAATTTCACATTTTCATTTTTATGACACACTAAATAACCATGTTGGTTTTGCTATAAACACCTGGGGACATAAGGGTTTGTCTATTATGTAGCACTTGTATTGTCTTTTGCTACATGGACACTTCTTTGTAATGGATATTGTAGCATGGTTTGAAATATTTTGTGTTGATAATCAGAGAAAACATTTAAAAAGTTTATGTGATCATTGTATTTACTTTTAGTAATAATATATACTGAAAAACTTCTTCATTTAGAAAGTTTGTATTGAGATTTTTTTTGTGTCTCTTCCACATGCAAAAAATATTCTACTGCTCATTGTGGTAACTATTAACTTCTTTTCTAGCCAAATTCTAGTTACAATATTTCATGAAGCAGTAATTATAGGAGTGATATCTTTTTAGTCATTTTTTATAGGCAGTTTTCATAGCTCTTCACCTATAATTAGCATTTTACAAGTTCTTGAATAAATGGTTTTGTCTATATCAAACTGCATTAGTTATAAAATGTTAATTATACTTAAAGACAAAAATCAAGTATAAACAAAGAACATGTCAGTTGATTATTTATCTTTATTTTGTTTTAAAGGTGATCTACCAGATGTTAAAAGAGGAGAAAGAATCTTCATAGATGTTAAAATAGAAGGAGAAAGACCTGGTCCATTGTCTGGTGTTGCTGCTGTGTGGTTAGAAAGTGGTTTTTACGTGTTTGGTGGATATAATGGACAAACTCAGGGACATTTATACCAGCTGACCCTTCCCCTCGATCTTTGCCACCTCTTTACTTCCAGTGCTTTAGCTTGCCGTAAGCACACTGGTTGCTCATATTGTTTAACATATGAAAATGGTACCAATGAAACTTTCTGTTTTGCAGAAGAAGGGTCCATACTTTCTAGGTAAATAGTTTATACAAACTTATAGTTTTGGTCAAGATCATGAATTGAAAAAGTTTTAGGTTTAAGATGTTAATCTTAAAATTAGCTTCTGAATAGTCAACTGCATGTTTACAGAGAATGAATTGTACTTTATTTAAACTGCTGCTTATGGCTAGAAACATGTTTCTGAATAATAAAAACATTCTTATGGAAATATTGTTAAATAATGTATAGCTAAAATGTACAATATTACATAAATTGGAACTTTCAGTGCTGGACAAGGAACTTAAAGGAAAGAAACTTCTATAGCAAGTTATTTATACCAGCATCAGGCTTCAAAAGCATACTTTAACCTAATCTAGAGCAAAGAAACTTCTATAGCAAGTTATTTATACCAGCATCAGGCTTCAAAAGCATACTTTAACCTAATCTAGAGCAATGCTATTATGAGCAAAGTGATGGCTATGATTAGCAAAGTAAACTATTCAACCTAAGAAACGAAAGTGATGAAGCTGGACATAACGTTTTGCACTGTTAACAAGATAATAAATAGGATTTTGAAATTGATGAAAGCTCACAAGCCAAAAGTCTGAAACATCCAGATACAACTTAAAATCAGAGGCTGTTTTCACAAGAAAAAAGGCCAAAACACTGAAATCACAGCAATCCCACTTGACCACAGTAAACTTTAGTGTTTTCAGTCTGTTTAAATGTGGAAAACAATGTCACTATATCTTGGAGGATCTGCAAAAGGATTGCCAAGATGTATATGTTATAATCTAAAATTTATCTTTTTGTGCTTCATAGAAGCATTACAGTTGATATTACAATGTCAGGTAATTGTTTTTTAATCATTGCTATTTGAATGGGCATGATTGGTGATGGAAGATGTAGTTACAAAGGCAGCACAGTACCAGGATTAATTAATTAATTAATCTCAGTATTTTCTTAACCATGTACAAAAAGATGTGTGTATCAGATACTTAGGGTTTGTATCACAAATCACTTTAATAAAAGAATGGAGGAAAAAGGGTGTGAGGGAAAAGTTGTAAATTCATCCTTTTGCATTGGATGGGTCAAAATGCACATGTCACAACTTTTTTATAGGGTTACATTCAAAATTTAATTAAACTACTTTATTTTTAATGTATGTGAATAAATTTGGCATCAAAATGTAGCTAATAAATCACATTTTAATATTATACAAGTTTTAAGTTCTTAATTTTATAAGAAAATATTAAAATAGACTTTATATATGCATTTTGGAATACCAAAAAATTATAAATTACTTTACCAATACCCAAAAATTCCACTGTGATTTATCAGGCTTCCTAACTAAATTGTATTTGGGTCTAAAAAAAATGTAATTTATGTTTAGTAAATAGTCTTGATTGTAATACTTCAAACTTTCCAATGATATAATAGCTTTTTTCTCGTAAATAACTTAGTGTGACAGAATTACATAGAAGAAATGTAAAGCTTTTGATTGGTTATTAAGTTATTGGTATACAAATGTACGAGTAGATAAACAAGTCTTCTCAAATGATGAAGTGGTGGGCAGAGCCGATATGGTTGATTCACTAAATATCATTTTATCTCAGCAAATAGAAAAGGCAGGAGGTTCTTAGTTTATATTCTAGCTTGCCAGTATCAGAAATTTGAGTTTCTAATCCGTAAGAAACTATAGACTTTGTATTGTGGGCATCATAAAATGTAATCCGACCAAGTCCAGAAGGCGACACGCAAAGTACAATATTTAGCCTCTCTCTTTTTTTTTTTTATATTTACTTTCAAATTAAGAAATTAACTAATATATAATACTAAAAGTTGAATTATAATCTCCAATTTTATGCCAAATTTATTGACATACATTTTGAAAATAATACTTAAATAAAAGTTTGAATATAAGTCTACAAATGTGATGACATGCCCTCTGACTCCTACCCATGTCTATAGGGTTAATAATAGCAGTCTCAGCAAAGCATCCAGTTTGAGAATACTTTATGCACAAAAATTAACAATGAGTAAGCCTCAATAAAATCGATTTGACCCTTATTGCAAAATACCTTTTATTTAAAATCAATCTTCTCTAACAATATTAATCTTTTGTACAGTACATTCAACCAAATAGTGCTCTTTATTTCATGTTTTATAGACATTTAAAGTTTATATATTTTTTAAATCAACAAAATAGCTTACAATTAAAATTGAGATACTGTAACAGAAATAAAGAATAATGTAATCTGAACTACACTGAATATGTAACAATTTGAAAAGAGAAAATACAGTAATTTTTTAGATGACTATATACTAATTGCTAGTGGTAAAACATTATCATTTGCTCATGGAGAAACATCTACTGAGGAATGGATTAAATAAAGTTTAAATTAACCTTAACAAATTCGGTCTACATTGAAGTTCAATGTTAAACAAGGTTATGCACATGAAAAGGTACCTTGAAGTTTCTCCTCCAATTCTCAATATACTGACACCCAGTCAAGTTTGGAAGCATATCAGTGTTTTGCCTTTAATTTCCATTCAGAAAATCAGGTACATTCATGATTTCTTTATATAAATTTTAAATGGTGCATACAATAATAAAATCTTTAACCATCCAATCATTATGCTTCATAAGTATATCTAGATTACAAAATACCTGTTTAATTCCATAGTGCGCAGGCCAAAAAGCTACACAGTCTGTACAGTTGGTATATTGGGAGCAGTTTCGTTGTTCTAACCAATCATTACTACATACAAATCCCCGATTGTGCTCAGAGTTCTTGAGTTTCGAGCAACTGAATAGATAAAAATTCAGATAATTAAGTGATTATTTTGCACACTGTGGTACTTTGCTATGTGAGACTAAGCAGGTTACATTTTATTCAACATTAAAGCATTTTTCTGTGCAATACAAATGTCTGAAGGGTGGATTTCAAACATAAAACTGAATGAGAATCATATCTTTGTGAAAATTAATCATTAAAAAAGTTTAATCAATATTCTAAAATGATATTTTCAGTGATAACCGGTAAACCTGTAACATAATACACATTTGAAAGATTGTCAGAATGGCTTTTAGAATCTACTCGGAGAAACAAAAATTAATCATTTAAAAATTTCTGATAATTAATAGTTAATAATACTTCCTATTGAACCAGTTAAAACCCATTAAACTTATACAAACCAGAACGTTGGACATGGCGAGTCCACATACAATTATTCTGGTTACGACATTTGTCGCAGTCAGATGCTAGGCATTGACGAAAAGGACATGCAGTAGGATCAGTTACCACTTGCTGTGAAAGGTTACAAGGATTTTCTTGTTCACAAGAAGCAGATGCTGGAATGCAGCGGCCTACAGGACAGTTTGAACACCAATGACAAGCCTGGAAAGATTACCATTGCAATACATTATCCATGAATAACACAGAAAAATAGAAAATAAGAATACTACAGAACAATTACGAAGGACAATTCAGACAACCACAAGTAAAATAACTTAAGTATGAATATAAAAAACAATATAAGACACTTACGAAACATACTTGACATATAACAATATACGAAATAAGTAATAAAACGTAGCTTAAAAAACAACTTCAAAATTCTCTGTACAAAAACTATAATACGTTATTAATAATGTATTATTTCTTTTGATTTTTTTTTTGTTCAAATATGCTGTTATCTTGAAGGACATGAAAACTAAAGCGAAGGCTTCATCCTGCATAATTGCTTTGAATATCCCAACATGCAACTTCTGTAATCAAAAGGAAGAAATTTAAAAACATTATTAATGTCAGGTTTTAAATTATTTTTCTTCCTCGCATTACAGTACTGTAATTTTACAGTCTTGCAACTTACGTATAGTGTATTGTTACATGCAGCTTTTTTGGTGATGCTTGTTAATGTGAAAAATATACAAACATCAAGTTTCATGCTTCTGAACTGGAAATGAGTTACTGTAATATCATAGACAGCTCATTGATTTTTAATTTTTTTGTGCTATCATAAAAGCTATAAATATTTCAAACCATAAGAATTTTTTATATGGTGTATAAAATAAGATAAGATTTTATATCTCAAACACACACACACACACAGAGTACTTTCACTATCTTAGACCTGGATTTTTATTCTTTTTTTGTAAAACTTTGTTCTGCATTTTAGGGATGTGGGTGTGCTATAAGGATGATGGTCAAATCCCACTTTTCGATCAGGAAAGAGTACTCCAATAATTGGAGATGAGTGCTGTTAACTAGCTGCCCTCCCTCTAGTCTCTCTGGATATCTTTTTGCAGAAATTCTAAAAACAAACAAAACCTCATACCTGTAAAAAAGAGCTGTAATTTGACTTTCAGTTTTCCCACAGGAAAATGCATATATTGGTTTAAACATCATAGAGTTAGAAATTCCACATATATAATGCATTTAATTGTTTATCTTTTGGTTTTCTTGTTGCATTCACAGAGAAGGAAAGGAGAACAGGCAATATGAGTGACCAAAAGTTTGTATTAGAGTTCATACTCAAATAGCACCTCATTGAATACATGGATAAAATAGAATATTTTGACACCAGTTTCAGGTCGATGGGGTCAACATAAACAAAATGACAGACATTTAAATTTTGTCCAGAGAGGGTGATTTTCTTCACATGAAAATATGATGATTATGAAAACTCATGTTAACATGTTTGACCACTCTAGGTAATGATTTGAAGGTTTTGATAATTTATTGTACTATTTCTCTTTTTTTTTTTTATCTGTTACTAAAAAAAGTTTAAGAAATGCTGGAATTTCCTCTTAATTTACCATAATGTTGAATCATAGTTTTGGGTGGTTGAAATACTTTTTAACTGAAAAACATTTTTGTAAAGTATTTCATAACATACAAAAATATCTAAGCAATATAAGTTGAGGAGAAGTTGAAGTATTGGGGTCAAAGGTCAAGAAAGTTGTGTGAACATAATGAGGCAAAATGACACAGTACTGTGAATATAAGTGAATTTGGACCAATTAGGAACTGTTTTCACGTGTGTGGTTTTATTTTATTCTTGTTACATGTTCTGTAATGCAAGAAATGAATTTCATTCTATCTAGGTATACCTTTGGAGTCATAAAGATCACTGAAAGACCAATTTTTTAGTGAGATTATTCTCCTTTTTTTCATTTCGTTTTGTTAGTTAAATTAATAAGTTTTGATTTTCATGAAAAATAATAATGATAATAGTTATTTGTTTTTTAAAATGTATTTGGCATAAACAAGATTAACCTTTAAATATTTCAAGTTTTTTACACAAAATTTAAGATTTTTTAACTAGGTGTTTTCATTAAAGATTTGTCTGTCAATTTATGGAGTCAGACTCTGACTAGTCTGAGTGTAAGATGATTTTCATGTTAAGATTAGAAATACTGTTTTCATTTATATTTTTCATATTTCATTTGCATAATCTCTGAAAGCTCCTAAAAGAATATCAAATGTTCTTTTCAATAAAACTTTATATTTTAATTACTGTTTTCTCTACCCTAACACTTGTATACAAGCTTAGTACATTTGACTGACTTTGTAACCACCATAAAGTAAAATGAAGTAAATTTAAATTACCCCCCCCCCTTTTTTTTTCCTAGAATGACTGAATATTGTTACAAACAGTTAAACTATTTCTTCTTACAGCCAAAGCTAATACTGTTCAAATCTGCTCATCATTTAGATTTATTGCTTTACTGCCACATAGATTAGCACTAGAGCAAATTATCACAGTGGGGAAACTTTGTGTAAACAAAGAATTGAGTTGCCAAGCGTGCCCATCAAATTGCAACATTCAGTGTGTATGAGACATGCTTGTGCTATCAAGTATTTTTTTAATTTAATATTTCTTATCTAACCAAACAAGTTTCTAATTTTTACGTATTGTTGCTTTTATAAAAGTAAATAAAAATATACATGAAAATCAAGAAACTTGGTACTTTACGTGTTGGTCCTTTATATTTGTACAGTCAGTCTCATTGAAAGTTAACCCTAGTTTTCTGTAAGGGTACTGTTAGTACTTTACTTAATTTTTATTTTTTAGATATGCAATTCAGAACACAGAATATTAACATGGGACAAAATACAGTGTCCTTAAACTATTATAATTTAACTGGTTTACTACCTAAGCCATATGTGCATTAAAATAATTTCCTTACCTGGTTAAGGTGGCCTTGGCAATAGTAAACTATTATAATTTAACTGGTTTACTACCTAAGCCATATGTGCATTAAAATAATTTCTTTACCTGGTTAAGGTGGCCTTGGCAATAGTAAACTATGAAATTGAATAACTCAAAATTGATAGTGAGAATGAATTAGCTTCATAAGGAAAGGAGTTAGTTATATGTAATCCAATAGCAAATGTCAGAGAATTATTGACATTTTCTAAAGACAGCATGTGCTAGGAGGGGCATGGCATATGAGTTTCAGTTCATGACATACAGCTCATTACAGCAAGAAGATTAAAGCCATAAGATTTCATTTTAGTTTGGAGAAATTTAATGTATTAGTATGCAAGTCCTCAGAAACTTGGAAATTAATATAGGGGGTGGAAAGAAATTCTAACATGAACAGTTCAGAGCAAAGAAGTATCAATTGATGCATAAAAGTGAAGATTGAAATTTTATTTAAATTGTTCCTTTTAAAATTAAGACATCAAAACTTATATCAAAATTTGAATTATAAACTACATTTTGATGTCAAGTTTACTGACATACACTATAATAATTTAATTAAGTTTTGAACATAACTGTACATATTTACTTGTATCTAGAGGGTTAATAGGTATATTTTACAGTCTATTTCAGAATTACCTTTATACTCCAAGTTTGCCCAGATGAAATTCATTTCATGCATTATAGAGCATATAACAAGAATAAACAATGCCAGACACATGGAAACACTTCTTAAATAGCTCAGAATCACCTCATATATTCACAGTAATGTATTGTTTTACCTCGTTATGTTCACATAGGTTCCTTAACCTTTGATCCCTGTATTTCAACTCCTCAACTTGTATTGCCTAGATAATTTTATATTGTATGAATTACTGTATAAAGATGTTCACCTATGAAAACTAGTTCTCACACATAAATCTGTGGATTAGTTTTAGTTGTAAATGATGAGGAAATTCCAGCATTTTCTACACTTGTGGATAGTAGATTCCTTTTTTTTTTGTAATATTGTAAAAAATTCAAAATATTGAAATAGTTATTGTAATATACATATATATAATTCTCTTACTTGCATATGTTTTTATTTGTTTGCAATATTACCCTCTCCAGATAAAATATAAAAGTCTGCCAGTTTGTTTCTGATGACCTCATCAATTTGTAACTGGTTTCAAAAAATTTCATATATGTATTTTACTAAGATATTACTTAAAAAGCAAGCTAAGTTTATTCATAACACTTTGAGAATAATAATTCTTATCAGCACTGACTAATTCTTTGTGAACTTGTAATCAATTATATGTTTTAGACCTTTTTTGTAATGTTAATGTTGCAGTGTTTTACTAAGATATTACTTACTAACTCTGATGCAGACTTTTGGTTGCTGATCTTGCCAGTTCTCCTTTTTGAACAATCCATCTTTCTTAAAGCTTAGGCCTAAATGTTTTAAAGTCTTTTTTTTTTAATCTGGTTTCAATTTTTATATAATATCTAATACTCTGGTACAAAGCCTTTATTATATGTTGTTTTTATTTTATTAAGTGTATTTGAACAGCACAGTTATAGTTGCACTGAAATGTTATCAGCATGAAGAGTTTAAGAAACTTGGTTAGGGCTAACTTGAGTTCAGACAGTTTGTTCCAAATAGACATAATTCACAAACACATACATATAACATGATACATATCTTTCTAAGAATGTGATAATTAAAAATAAATAAACAAATAAAATCTGCCTCCCATAGTGTGAAAATGTTTAGAAACTATGTATGAAGATCAGCTCAAGTTTAATATTTTGTTTTGAAAGTCAGTTTTGTCGAAAGTATTAATTAAAAAGCAAGCTAAGTTTATTCATAACACTTTGAGAATAATAATTCTTATCAGCACTGACTAATTCTTTGTGAACTTGTAATCAATTATATGTTTTAGACCTTTTTTGTAATGTTAATGTTGCAGTGTTTGTCGTGTAATGTTTTAACTTCTGAATTCACATTTAAGCAGGACTTTTGTCTATTTTTTGTTTAGTTTCCACATGTTAGGTCTAAATTAACAACTTTGAATGTTAATATTTTGAATTTATTGTAACTTATTTTCATTTATAAGATATATTTTTTATTTTGTTTTCAACTGAATGTTTATACAGTAGTAATACAGGAAGTTAGTAAGCCTGGATATAAAATATATTCCTTTCCTTGATGATGCTGGTGCCAGATGTTGCTACAATGTTGCATATAGCCATTATATGCTGTTTATGTGAAGTTATTTACTTTATTTGTGTGTTTTACTTGTATTCGTATCATTATTTACTAAACTTTTAGAAGGGATTTTAGGATTGTAATAAATATTGCATGTGCTTATTACTTTATGTAGGTGCAGGAATTTGTATTCTGTATCTCCAAGTTATTTTATTTCTTAAATTGGCTTATAATTTTGACACAGATTTGTTTTTGAAATTGCTAGATCATATAGATTTTTTTTTAAATCGTAAATGTTACAGTACACTCAGATCCTCTTCATCCTCTGTAAATTGTTGATTTTTCATTGAATCACAGGTATTTTCATAACACAGCTTGAAAATATAAATTGTATACAATATTACTGAAGACTTTTGAGACTTGTAGTGAATTCCTTAGCAACTAGTGATCATGATATTTATCTTAATTTCTTACACATATATAAATGTTTATGTTCAAGTATTATATAAATATTCAGATGATACAAATTCTCTAAAGTGAAAAACTCGTATGTATCTATATAAGAAATACAAAGAATGTGTTATATTTTGCTTTTGGATTTTAACATTTTTATATTACATACATTTGAAGGCAGTGAAAAAAAAATTGTTTTGATGTGATCATTCCAATCACTTGAGGGCCCGTCATGGCCAGGTGGTTAGGGCGCTCGACTCGCAATCTGCGGGTTTGAATTCTCGTCACACCAAACATGCTCGCCCTTTCAGCTGTGGGGGCATTATAATGTGATGGTCAATCCCACTATTCATTGGTAAAAGAGTAGCCCAAGAGTTGGCAGTGGGTGGTGATGACTAACTGCATTCCCTTTAGTCTTACACTGCTAAATTGGGGACGGCTAGCGCAGATAGTCCTTGTGTAGCTTTGCACGAAATTAACAACAAACAAACAAACAAACCAATCATTTGAACATGCAATTTGCAGAAATTTTCCTATGAAGTCTGTTTTGGTGAAATCACTCCAAACATTCCATTTTTATGCCATTGATACATTTTAATGAACATAATTGTTTTGTTTTTCTCTGTCACAAACTTTCATAAATCAAGAATAATCAAGTGCAAGTTGAAATATTTAATTGTAATTGTGTAGATTATATATTCTGTTTTCATTATTTCCATATGCTGAATTTGATACTCATGGTATGTCACAGGAATAGTTATTACCTTTGGACCTTGATTGTCTGAATTAGTTTGTACGTGATTTTATTAAAAATCTATACTTTTTTACATGATATCATTCTTCATCCTCTTGTTCTTGGTTTCTTGCTCTATGTTTTAATACATTTGAATTTGTGTTTCTTATAGATGAGAAATTTCACAAAGTAAATGAAAATCCAATTTTTAACTGGACATGCGTGAGGAAGAAACTTCATGATGTTACCTCATACAAAATGGAGTCTATTCCTCCCAGATCTTGTCCACCACGTTGTAATCACCATCATAATTGTTCAACTTGTCTGAACAAATCAGGCAGCGAGGGAGGATGGCATGAGTGTCGTTGGTCTACTGCTTTGAGAAAGGTATGTCCTGTTTGTTGTATTTTGCTGATAAAGAATATTCTTCTCATAAGCTTGAATATTAATACTTGGATGTTGTTGAAGGTTAATATTTTATGTAGAATATTTTCTTCATACACTTGGATACAGTTCTCACTTTCTTCTTTTGAGTCATAAAAACTGACTAAATGAAATTGTTACACAAATACATCTAAAATATATTAATATTTTTAGTTTTTTGGATATTATTTTCTAAGTTGAATATCATTACTTAAAACAAGATTATGTATATAAAGTTTTGAGTTATTGCACTTATCAAAACATCACACTTGACAATTGTTTTTCATTGTTTAATTTACATGTTTCAAACCAACTTGGCATATAAGTAGCAGTTTGGGATTTTATGTTTTGTCTGTAAAAAGATACTTTCTTGTGAAGGTACTTGTTTATTATCACTCTGTGATAACATTTTCAAACAAGTATAACAGAAGTTTCAGTATTTTATAGGTGTTTATAACAATTTTGGTTATGCTTAATATTAAATAGTTGCTGTCATACATTTAAATGATATCTGTATCAGTGTTTAAAACATTTATAAACTTTGATAATAAATTCATCTTTAAATCTTAAGTGTTGTATTTCAACATGTCCCTCAGGAGCCAAGGGGTGTCTTTACACTACAATTTGTTGAATATGAAAAGTAAGTTCAATCCAGAAACTCCCAAAGGGGGTGGTTTGGGACGTATATTTTCGAGACAAATTTTTGTTTGTTAAATGATAAATTTTTAAGTGAAATACAGCATCCTCAAGTCTCCATACTAGCTAGTACTAAGGTCTACCCACTAGGAGTAAATTCAGTATATATCGATAAAGCCACGTTCTCAGCAGCATTAATTAAGCAATTGCTAACATTTTATGCTTCTGCAATTATCTTTTTATGTTTAGCTTTCATTTGAGATAATAATGATTTCACCTGCAATTCAGTGGGGAAGATCGAAGCATCACGATAGTTGTCGGTAGGATGAGCAGACAGGAACACATTGAAAGTAACTACAGGCATAATTTTGTACTCAGCTTGCTGCACAATGTCTACCAAGGTGGTTCTAAATTGTTCCTGAATATCTGCCTGTCATTTGGAGACTTCCATGCTTCTTGTGCTTGACCATTAAGCTTGTGATTCTCTGATGGATTTCAGTCACCTTACCACTTCAAATCACTTTTTGCAGTCCCAATGCTAAAAAAGTGCGGGAAGTGCCTTCTTTTTAATCAGTAAACATCTCCAAAAAATGTCAGTTCAAATTAAGAAAAACAGGATTGGGTAGTTGTTTTTTTTTATTGAAAATGTCCCTGACTCGTGAGGAGCCTGTTAATACTTTACCTGTTTTTTTTTAGCTGGAAATCATTGTGAACAATCCAAGTTGCACTTTCAGGTGATTTACTTTATTTTTCTATTGTAGTGCTTTTCTCCAAGTTTTCAACAATTGCAATGTGAGGGAGGATTGTGTGGAGCCATATTGGAGGCTCCTAATTTCCAGTGTAGTGATCCATGTTGGAATCACACACAAGCTTCTCAGTGTCTCAAGTATCCTCGTTGTGGTTGGTGCTCTTTCACAGGACCCCTTGTTGATGGCCAGGGACTGTGCATGGATGGTGACTTACAAGGCCCAACAGGTGGAGGCATGTGTCGTCAAGGGGAAATTCGACTGCATGATGCTGAAATTTCAGGTAATTTCTTATGGAAACAAATAAGCTTGTGTAGGTAGTTCCTGTTGTCATTGTGTACATTTTGGTTCCAGCTTTTACTAATAGTGTAAGCTTGTATTGCTTCAGAGCTATACAAATGCATTTATAAGTTGCTGTTTTATTAAATGTTAGCCTTTGATATTCATATATGTATTGTTTGTTGTTCTAAAAAAGGGAGCCAGTCATAATTATTTAAATGTATGGCTGCTACAATTTCAGAACAGATAAATCGCTGGTTTTCAATGTCTCTTAACCCTCCAAAGTGGGCATACTTGAAACCACCACCAGAAAACGAGTGTCTCAATGGACATCACACCTGTGATGAACGTCTTGAAAAATGTGTGGATCTGGAAGAGGGCTTCACCTGCCAGTGTCGGGATGGCTACACAGAAGAAGGGTAAATATTGTTTTGTGATAGTACATGAGTAAATAATTAGTGTTTAGCATAGAATTAAACTTTTGCAAGAATGAATTGAAAGTCGATATTGAACACAAGCGAGGGATTTGTTTTATTTTTAGTTGTGTTGAAGTAATGATTCTCATGTGATATTTCCCAACATTAATATGTATATAAATGTAACTGAAAATATTTCAAATATAATTTTAATGTCTCTGAAAGTTAGGCTGCTTTCATTCACAAATTATCGAATTTAAATAGAAACTTTATAAGTTGCTCAAGATGATATCATGTTGACAACTATAGCTGTGAGTTACTGTGTGTTATGTTCCAGAATTTGTCAAAGTAATAATTCCTGGATTATAAAACTGTATTGATTTTGTGCCTTTTAAGCTATGTACAGAGACATCTCAAAATAAAATAGACACCATGATGTTTATTCAATAGTCATTTAATTAAGAAAGGCATCCAATGGCTCCCATGGCCAAGTCAGTCACCTGATATGAACCCCATCGAGCATGTCTGGGCCATACCTGCTCGAGCAGTGAGAAGAAGTTCCAGAAAACCATCTTCCCATGAAGAGCTACTTGATGTTTTGCGTGCAGCCTGGGTCAAGATCGTACAGGAGAAAATTGCAGAACTTATC